CAAGCCATGGATATCCAGCGATTGATACTTCTAGCCCTTACATAAGCCCTTTCTACGCTTCATATTTCAACGATGAAGGGGGCGTGCGTGATTGCGTGCTTCATCTGAACGCGCCGGCGGCCCCTTTTTGGTGGGATACCGCGGTTTTGGGATAATTGTAATCATATATTTGTCCAAAACAAGACAGCATAAAAGTTGTCTCAAATGGAATATCCCATCCTGGACCTTGCTCGAATGAAGTACTTAGCCACGACCCCTCCCATCTTCGGGATAGGGTGTATATTGGGTATGAAATATACAATGCATGAAACAGTAGACTAACCCAAGCTTTAATACTCTCCTAGTTTCCTTTATATAATCGATGAGATTTGTTCCCATGAGAGAAAGGCAAAACACGACAATATCGGCTGATAAATCCTTCATTGGTAAATGGGCCATGTCGCATGCTGTTACGCGATCATTCACAGCCACAAGATCGAACGAGTGTACCTGAACAAAAAAAGAGTTCCACAAGAACATAAACAGACCTAATAGAGCTAAGCGAAAGAGATTATGACCACATTAGCATCAAAAAATCCACACCCAGGTGTTTTGAGATAAAAGTATGCGACCGGTTACCTCGAAGCAACAAAAGGAGTTTCTAAAAGGCATTAATATGAAGGGGCGCTCACCTAACTGGTAAGGTAGGAACAGACGGCCAGACGTGGGGGGGGGGCGTGCAAGACAATCTTCCGGTGATGGACTTGGCCGCGTCGTCGCGCCTGTAAGGCTGCGTTTATACTTTGCGGCAGCGTAGCGTAGCGCTTCCAGCGTACGCCAGCGGCAGTGCCGGGGAGAGGATGGATATCGATCTAGCGTTCCCAGCGTCACCAGCGTAACGCTAGCGTACGCCAGCGTTTCGCCAGCGTTTCACCAGCGTTTTGCTAGCGTTTGCAGCGGCAGGGGAGTAGAGACTATGGGAGAGCTGGAGGGTACAAAACACATCGATTGCGCGTCTCTGACGGCCACATAGTCTCTACAATACACATCGATTGCGCGTCTCTTACGGCCACATAGTCTCTACAATACACATCGATTGCGCGTCTCTGACGGCCACATAGTCTCTACAATACACATCGATTGCGCGTCCTGCTGACGGCCACATAGTCTCTATACAACACACATCGAGCTGCGCGTCTCTTACAGCCCCACAGTCTCTACAATACACATCGATTGCGCGTCTCTTACGGCCCCATAGTCTCTTCAATACACATCGATTGCACGTCTCTGACGGCCACATAGTCTCTACAATACACTAATCGATTGTGGCGTCTCCGCGACACGATAGCTCTACAATCACATCCATTGCGCGTCTCTTAGCGCCACGCATAGTCTCTACGCCCCTGCGCTGCATAACGCCAGCGAACTGGTGACGCTGGGAACGCTAGATCGATATCCATCCTCTCCCCGGCACTGCCGCTGGCGTACGCTGGAAGCGCTACGCTACGCTGCCGCAAAGTATAACGCAAGCCACACTCACCTCGCACTCCGGTTGGCCCATGAGTAATGACGTTTTTTTCTTACGCAAGTTTTTACTCGGAAAATGAGACTTGTTCGGAGGATTTTGTAAACTAGTTGATAGACAATTTCCAGCTCTACAATATAGTGTAGTTTCCCTGCTCTTTCTTAGTTTTTTGTCCGCTTTATACTTCATTATATGGAGTAATCCGCGGCTGTTACCTAACGTGAGTTTTGAGAGCAGGCAACCTTTTCACTCATCTGGGTCTCAAATCTGCAGAAGCAGCTCGAAACCTGTGGTGTGTATAACCGAGGTAGGATGTTTTCCACGACGGCTTGAAGTTGGCTGAAGCTATGAAGAGATGGGAATTTGGACCATGCGCCTAGGTATCGCATGAGGCCCCTCTCGGGAGGCGACTATCTGCAGAACCCATTCACAAGATCGCCTACCAAGTGAAAATGATGCTCAATGAGAACGTGGTAGTCCTTTCGCGACATCGAAAATTCCCCAATTCTTTGCATGGATCTCCGTGAACAGTGTGATTCAGTGACTGGTGTAACAAGGAACAGTGTGGTTCAGCTCTAAGTTGGACGCAATAGGGCACTAGGTTCGATGCTTGTCTGTAAGGTCAAAATTGGAATTTCTGCAGTGCTAAAACCGTTATAAGCATTCTTGAGAGACATTGCTTCTCGGCCGTATACTTGACAGGGAGGCCTGCATCTTTTTAGCTTTTAGATCTTAAAGGAGAGGCTGTCGAAACTGCTCAATTTCGTCGACCTCACACTCCAATTTGAGGCTCATAAATTAGTGGAAACAAAATCTTCAGAGAAAAACTAAGAAAAGCCTCTTAAAGGGCAGGAAATTTTTGCAAAATGGTAAAACATAGTGGAACTAAATGGCGAAACGTTTCGTCTTGAGCGCGAAATTTCGGGTGAGAAAAAAACGCCATTACTTATCTGCCAACCCAATCAATATATGTTATCGAATGTACAATGCGCCTTACAGCAAACCTTACAGCGATTGGGATCTGTGTGTCGGTTGCGATGTATCATATTGTAAACCACAGGGAGACTACTGCTCCCATGGACATAGCAGGCGTTACGAAAGATTGTCGCGCCACTCGTGGCGCGTTAGGCCGCGCTCTCGAACACGGTGGCTCTGGGCGTATGCACTGCTCCCAGGTCAAGCTTGCGAGAATATGGGAGTTGTCGGGATGTGGATGAAAAGCGAAGAGGAACAGCCTTACAATTCCTCAACACATCGGGTAATCGATCACTCAAACTTTTTTTGATGACGAAGATTGGTTCAAATAAGGGTGTTGACGGCAGTCTTGATGGAATCATTAGAAATCAAATTCGAACGTTCAATACACGTGTGATTCCTAGTGGACCATGGCGAATCCCAGTTTAGCTACGTGTGCACCTGCAGTCGAATGACAGTGTGCAAACAAGACTGCCTTGACTA